CTTCATGGCAGCATGGGGCCTCTCTGGGAGGCGGGAGCTGGGGTTGCACACCAAAACCTGCAGCCCGGCAGCCGCTCTACCCCCTCTGCCCCAGTGAGGAGCCTGCTTTCCATTCGGTCCTTCCAAAGCGCCTCCTTTCAGGTCCGCACTGTGCGGAGAGGTGGAAAAGCACATCCACAGCAGTGCACCAGAGAAAAGGCAGAAAAAGGGAACGAGCCTCCGAAAGCACAGCAAAACACTTCCCTTCAGTTATACAGCCTGTAAACAGCAACTCCTGTACATCAGCCAGAATCAGGCAGTAGTTGCACCGGTTACTGCAAGAAAACTTGGCCACAAAACGTTATGTGTGTTGTAAGTAACAGCTCCCAGTCATGGTGATCTAATCTGACAAGGCCTGTTTTAGGTTACAGTGTGTTGGTGTGATGGGACATGAAAGCATGTGCATTGACCTTTGCGATTAAAAATAGCACCCATCTCACTTTTGTCACTAATGACTCTGACCACATCCCTTCAAGTTAAGATACATAGGCATCTTTTTCCTTTCAAGGGAAATCAGGAGTAACAGTTTTGCCAAGCCCTACAAGAAGACAAGGTAGCTTTGTAATACTATTTTAAGGTTGAAAAAAAATCACAGGGCTTAATCAAGGTGAGCTAAATATAGTAAGTGTGGTTTATCCATTTCTAATCTCTGTGATTTAGAGTTTGCTGGTTCTTATCAAATGGCCTGGAGCACCAAACAGGTGAGTTTACACTGCTTTGCTATTTATCGCTGCAGCACTGCAATTCCTCTGCTAGTGGAAACGGAAGGAGACAAAGTCACATTGACTGACCCAGCAGAATACCAAGCTTTTTAAAGTTGCTGAATCTCAACATTGGCAGGAATGTATTTGTTTCCCCTCAGGTGTATTTATGATCAGTAGAGACGCCAGTGGAGTGCAACTTCTAATACAGAACCACAAGATGCTGTTTAAAATACTATGAGAGCAACCTTCTACAAGCAGTGTCATCCCTCAAGAAAGATGATTGTATTTCAGCTGCAGAGAAGTCTCAATGCCCTGATATGGCAAATTCTCCCTATATGGCAAAGCATTTAAGCGCCTCCTAAAATTTACGGCACACAGAAATGTAACAAAGGGGGAACCACACGCAGGTCGAGATATGCTCTGCATGGAGCCTGTGGCTTGTCTCCCAGCAGAGTCATCAGGGCCTGGAGAATCAGAATTTGAATAACAATGTGCTGCCACCTAAATTTGATTCTGCCTTAAAAGGACAGGAAAGAGCCGATCCACTGTGAAGCCAGAGGTCCCTGGGGTGAGCGAAGGGGAGGAGAAACTTCTTCAACTGCAACAGTATTTGACTCTGAAAGGAAAAAATCCTCATTTGCCATCAACTGGGGAGCAATATTGCAGATAAAAGGGTTGGCAAATCAGAAGGGAGCTAAATCTTTAAGCATTTAAAATGTTTTCCCTTCCTCCCATCTTCCCCTGTTCCTCTCCAACAGGTGTTTAAAAGTAATTTGTAGTGATCGCTGTGGAGTGACGCCGAGGAGAAGTGGGATGTGCTCCACATCCCCCAAGCCACAATTAGCCATGTAGTGCTGTAACATGGCAATAAGAGTTCTGGCAATGCCTTCAAGCCTTGACTGATGCCTGGGATTGCAGAGTCCTGCTGCGTGAAGGACCTTGAAACTCACAACTGATAAGATGAACGGAAGAGTAGGAATACATCTGGAGAGAAGCTCACCCAAGGCTTAGGAAAAAAGTAACAGTATCCTGATATTAGAGTACACTCCCAAAAAAACCCGACTTCTGCAGTTCTGAAGAACAGCTTATAAAGCAATAAAGTACAGGAGAAAAGTCTTAAGGGTAAGAGAGATGTCTGTTCAACAAGCCATACAACTCTCATTACATAGTATACGTAGCTGGGGATTTCAGGGGTGCACTGGATACAACACAGCAGAGAATGGTTCTCAACATCCTGAAGCAGCTGACAACCACAAGGATGAACCAGCCATGAAAAAAAAGGCCTTGTTTTAAGAATTTAAAAACCGATGGCAGAGTCAACAGATTTTTAACTTGTCTGCCACCATGCCATAAATGAAACACCCAGCACAAACAACTAGAGGCTGAACGCTGGGCAGCTGCCCACATCTGTGCTTCCCGTGGAGTAAACTAAGAGAAGGCTGGCTAGATGTCTTCAAGCTCATGCAATGTAATTTAATACAGTTAGTGGGTGCGGCCAAGCTTGTTGTTTAGGAACACTTCTTTTTGGTATGAGGTTAGTGTCAAGCTGTCAAAGCAATAAAAAAAAGCTTTTTGTTTTGCAGCTCGTTGCTAATAATTACGCAGAAAAGTTATTTTTCATCAGGTGCAAAAAGGCTGACCTTGCAGTGCAGGGAATAAAAGTACAAACAGGTTGAGGCAAACTCTGTTTGAGATTAGACAGATAAAGGCCTCTGCACCTACAGACTATGCACAGCATACAGGTCTGTGAGAATGAAGGCAAAACAAAACACACTGTTGAAACTGCGATTAATAAAAGTAATGCAAACTGCAGAAATGCAAGTGTTCATCTCCTCACGCTAAAGTTCCCTTCTTGCTTACGTCTAGAAGTTAACCTCACAAAATCACTCTTCCTTTCTTAGGGAATCTAGGCCAGAAAAAGAAAAAAAATAGCAAAAAAAAAAAGGCAAAGTAGCAACTGTTAGCAGGAAACACAATTTTTACATTTCCTGACTTTGTTTGGTATTGGTTGCAAAGGTAATGCTAAACTGATGGCAGTGACTTTATCTGAACACTCGTGCTAACGTTTTTTTCACTGTATAGCCCGATTCTGAGAGATTCGGAGACTTACTGAGCTTGAGGAAAGCTGGAATAGGAGCAGCACTAAGACTTACTGAAGCTGTAGCCTTCATTGGAAGATTTGCTGCTAGCGTGCACTGAACAAGACCTGCCGCAATTATGCGTGGAAAAACTAACTTCAATGTTTTGTAGTTGTTGAGGATCTCTTTCCTCTGGGCACACATACTGCCTCCTTACAGGTCAGTTAGACTTTTTGTAGGAAGCCGTGAGGGCTGCTCTCAGAAGACGACTGACCGACACCATCTGCTCCAGCGCTGGCGGTGGGGCTGCAGCATGGGGTTTCAGCTCTGCACCCTGTGGCTGCGCTGGAACTGGGGGCACCGCGCTTCTCCGCAGCTATTGCTCTGGGCTCGCTGGAGACTCCTTGATCTCCTACCCTTGGGCCAAGCTTTTCTACAGAACCAGGGAGATCATGAGTACATTTTTCCACAAGCAGAAAACCACGTGACTCCTGGAGCTAGGATCTTCGCTACAAGACTATGATTTCTTAGCAGGTTCCCTTTACAGGTGGCAGTAGATGCAGGGGCTCCCACAAAAGAATAACCTTCAAAAACTTACCACAATAAGTGCAACAACAGACAGTGTATAGTAGATTGAATCTCTCAAGAGACTCCACGATGACAATGCAACGACCTGGGAAAACAGGCAAAGAGAGGATGTCAGCCAGGCTCTCACCCGCATGACTGCCGCGCTAACAGTGTGTACCAAAGTTAAGCCTGTCATTCTGCGTAAGCTGTCCCCACACATGCTAGGAGATGATGAGGAGACCCAAGCCAGGAAACACACTGCCCTTCTGCAGCTGCTCGAGGAACAGTCCCTGGCGAGATGGGAGGATGGACGGCCAAATCTAAAGAGTACAAGGTATAAGGTCACGGGCAGCAGATGACTTCCATGCAAACTTGCAGACGTGCTAAATCACACCAGTGTTGTCAAAGCTATGGAAAGGGGAATCAAGTCCCAAGTATCTATGGGTGACAGAGTAGTTTCCCACAAGCTCAGCAGGCTATCCGATATCCTTTTCCCCCTGAAATCCCTTCCATACACACACCACGGAGCCTGCAGTAGCAGTCCCTGCAGGCTGAGCTGTCCCCCAGGCCTGGCTGCGTGCTGCAGCCGGAGGCAGCTGAGCCAGGGGCAGGCATGGGGTAGCCCGCTGCAGAGGTGGCTGCGAGTGCCGCCGCTGTCTGGGCAGTGGGAAGGGGCTCAGCGTTACCAGCAGGACCCTTCTGTGCCAGCGCCGATGCTCAGCAATGAGTGCCTCAATGGAGAGTGGTCACAGGAGATGAACAGCCCTGTCGAGTCTCTGGCATGGGACATGACCACTCCTTCCACCCACCCCGTGGTTCACATCTGTTTCTTGTATTTTTTCCAACCCGGGACTCCTGCCTTCCTTGGGAGAGGAAACTGGCCTGTAATGCTGAGCAGGAGTGCAAGGTACGCAACGGCCCAGTAGGCAGGGGAACACCACCAGATGCAGTCCCCAGCTGCTGCCTAGCAGTGTGGGTCCTACCCATCCTTGTCCTATTGCCACGTGCCTAAGTCCAGCATGAGTCCAGCTGCTGGCATCTCATACACTGGGTTTCCAGGAATTTTAGGCTGCTGGATGATGGGCTTGTCCTTGCTAAAAATGTCAGCTTGACCCCTGCTGACTCATACAGGGGAGGATAACTTGGGCAACAGAAGTCGCACTGCAAAACAAGGGTCTGGCAGCACAGAGCAGCCCAATCCCCAGCACGCTGTTAGCCGGAACCTCAGCAGAGCCAGGGCTTCACCCACCACACTGACGGGTATCACTACAGCTCTGCGTGCATTTGTGTAGGCTTTGGGACAAACACTCAAGGTAACACTCCAGCAAAGCGTTAAGAACAAAACCCAGGAATTTATATGCAACCGAGGATAAAACAGGATTGCTGTGCAGTTCATTTCACTTGGCACTTTCCAAAGCCAAGGAAATGAGGAGGAATCATCATCGTAGGCTGAATGAGCCTGCAGTTCAGATCTTAGAAGAAAAAAGTACCAGTGAATAAGTTAGTCTTTAACTTCATTAACAGTATTCAAAAGGGCAGTTTAAAAGCAGCCATGTGGTGGTAACACCTTCAGGACGATTATATTTTTTGCAGCCCTAGGGAGTCTCCTCAGTAGAAGCTTCTCCTCAAATCCTTATTTCCCATTTCTGGAGTACATTTCAAACACTGTGGGTCACATCCTTCACAGGTGTAAACCACAAGGAGGCAGATGGGAGATGGCTAATTTACACTGATTCAGCCCCTGAACGTATAAACGAATTTTCTGACCACATCCTCCAGTCATGCTTGTGCATGAATTCAGACAAACAGTAACTTCATTTTCATTTCTATGACATCTAGAAAAAGTTCCTATTTCAGAGTGCTAGCAAAAATAGTTTCTCAGATTTCTCTGCATATTAATTCTTACAATATTGGAATTTTCCAGAACTGCTAGCAAAACAAATGCTGCAAAAAGATACTGACCATTACACTGAACAATCTCTGCAGCCTCCTAATACTACGGCTTTTTAAGGCGGATGTAATTTATGCCCAGCATAAAGTCTCTTTATGCAACCTCTGACATGTAAGAAGCTCCTACCTAAAATAAAAAAGCAGGCCTTTAAAGTCCTAGAGTCAGATTAGATTTATACCAGCTGACAATACATTTCAATGCCTGTAGGGATAGATGAATGGAGATGCTTTATGATGGAAATTTCCAAATGTAGAAACCTGGAGTTGGGTTCATAATTCTATTCAGAGATCCTTAATTAAATCTCACATCTTATAGATAGCGTGCCCCTTCATTTTGATTGAGCAATTTTTGTAAGAGAGTTTATAAAATGATTTGACATTATTCCACTCAGCTTTTATGATGCTGCTTAAGGTCCCATGCACTTTTCTCAGCATGGATGCTAGTGGGGCGTTTATAGCTGTAAACTTAATGCTCTGCATCAGAGAAATTACAGCATTTCTGAAGCAAACGACAAACCCCATACAAACAGGCTTGCTGGCAATGGTCGCTATTCTACCTAGTAAGCTCTCTCTAAGGGTGTCACCACGCTGCACATCATGCCTGTGAAAGCAAGATGTACCCGTTACTAGCTAGTACCTCTCCCGTTCCTTAATATTCTACAATAGCCTTGAAGGTAGGCTGCAATATTTTCCAGGGAATTTTTGTCAGACACCTGAATGAGCACATTAAGATCCAGATGCTAAAACCCTAGTGGACAAGATACCGTGGGCACCGCAGGGACCCCTGCATTGATTTCAGATTGGATTGAAGGGAATGTGCTCGTGCCTGGGACTTGTACAGGTTGCTCACATTTCACAGGCATCCTAGTAGGTCTCCCTGATGGAGTAAGGATGGGGCAATTAAATCTCATCTCTCCTTAGGGCGTGAGTCATTTAGCTGAAGTCTTTGAACCATGTGATCACTGGGAAGAACAATCTGATACAGGAAAGCCATGCACACAAGGTAAGCGTGCGCCGAGGGTAAAAGGAGCTAATTAGCACTGAGGGGAATGGCAGTACTTTCAGCCTGCTGACAAGGATCGGGTAGTCTAGTTACAACTATCAAGACCTTGAATGACTAAATTGTGCCATGTAGTCTTGCGGCACCCAAGGACTCCACATAAATCTTAACGCACTGGAAACCGCTTAAATTACAGTTTAGCAGACTAAGGCAGAAAGGGAAATCAGGGAAGCAATCAGCTTGGGTAAAAACATGATCAAATTTGAATTTTAAATCAGCAATACTGTAACCCAGAGGGGAGCTGGTCCCTTGGGAGGCAACTATAAAACCACCGATTGCCAGGCTACACATTTCCCCTCTTCGAAGGAAGTACCCGAAATTCAAACCCCAGACAAGTGACCATTAGCCCTCTTGACTACTACACTGGGGACTGAAACTGCCATCCCCAGAGCTGAAAGGAACTGCGCTTTAGTCCAGGCTTAAACGAGAGCAAGCCCTGTTGAGTCCAACACAGATGAGGACCCCTAGTGCCGCAGCATCCCTCCTATGGGTAAAACGACCCATATTGAATATTTGGTTTCTCACTGGTAAACTTTTGCCCTGCAAACTCTTAGGTATAACATTTACTGCTCAGAATGCTTATTTCCCCTTTTGAAGGGCTGGAGAGAAGAGAAATCAAGACTTTATCAGTTCCAGTTTGATTTCTGCGGTTCTTCACTCCTGAGGCAGCGGCCCCATCCAGCACGCACAGTCTCCTCCACCTAGTGCATGCATGGAAATTACCCACCAGGGAGAAAATCACTGAAAATCAGACAATGGCAGCTGCTGCTCTTGGCACCTACGTTAGGTCAAGGCACCCAGGGCCTCAATGGCGACACACTCTACACCCCATCCTGGGCCTTCACCACTTACCCTCTATAAAATCGACCCTTCCCTCTTCTGCTCTTCCAAATTATTTCTCCCTTAGCAGTGTGGAAGCTCTTCTCCCATCCAGAAAAGACCTGGCGACGGGGGCCATCCAGCTGGCTGTTTTAAAGCCTGCTGCTCGCCTGCTCTCCCCATCACAGTGATGGGCCTGAGATGAAGCGTGTGATGCAGAACACATCTGCTGCTACCGTGGTAAGGATGTTTGTGCTGCTGCTGCCAATGACGGCGGCAAGGCAGGCCAGAGGTACATGCACTGCTGGGTATTTTTTCTGCTCAACTTCCCAGGGAAGCACGTCGAACATTATCTAAGCACATCTACGTTCTTCAGGGATCTTCTTCACTCTGAATTGTTCCAGGGCTCTTCCTTCTCTCATGACCTATTCTTTGCTTGACACTCTCGGGCTGAATGATCAGCTACAAACGCCGCCTGGAAATGCTAGGCTTTGGAAGCAATCTTCCTAATCTTGTTTCTCTGTTACCCTCTGGCACAGAAGGCCTGGATTTTCAGGTATTAAGAACTAATAACTTAATTTGTTAATGAGCAGAGGCAGGGATGCTTGGGCGAGGGGGTCAAAAGATTAAAGACAATCCCCACGGAGATTTGCCTTAAGACTCTACGGAGATCAACAGAGATGTGCTGGCGGTGAATCCGCTGCTCAGTGCCTCCCAGCTGGAAGCATCTCCTTCCTGGCTGAGGTGCACACGGTGGTGCTGACTCCTCCTGTGCAGTGTGGTTCATTGATCTTTGATCTTGACAGACAGATTGCCATTCAGCAGAATAAATTTTTGGGCAAAGACGAACATTTCTCATGAGTTTTAAAGGGAAGTGGTAGAACGCCTCTAATTCATTAGACACAGTTTGAATACAAACACATCTTCTACAGCACTGCACCACAAGCAAATGTTCCTTAGTGACTGACCATGGTCGCTATTTTGGGTAGGCCTTCCGTGCAGCTCTGAGGTCCAAGGGTGCTTCCAAACTAATCACCAGTCTGGAATTTTACTCCACAAAGCTTGAATGAGGCTGTACTGAGCGCCACAGAGCTCCTTTCTGGAGAAGCAGCTTTTTCTTTTAGCAGTCAGCTGAGCCTGAGAGGTGACTGCGAGCTGAGACAGCCTTACCTGCAACGCTGCGAGGCAGGCTAAGGAGACGGGCAGCAAACACAAGCCCCTTTTCCCTGCTGCTGTCTTTCCCCCTCACAGGTGGGAAGCCAAGGGAACACGCACCA